TCTAAATTATCTATTCTTTATATAGTCTTTGGTGTTATATGTTACTTACAGTCTACACTCTGACTGGTTGCAAAGTTATTCCAAACAGCTTAGTTGAGTTTATTCAACCAGCTGTTCTACACAGAGCAGTAATTTAGCCAAAGCTACAAAAATAATATTAATTTTGCAAATAAGATGATAAAAAAAAAAAAATCTTTTTCCATGAAGAATCTCTATCCAGGACTCTACAACTTGAATAGTTTTAGCTTAAATGGTTCAAAAAAAAAAAAAAAAAAAATCAGAATTAGTCACACCTTAATATCCAATATAGTCTGAAAAACCACACACTTTTTTTTCTGGTATTTCACTGAAATTACTTTAAATTGTAGGAATGGTATGCATCTTTTCTTTTTAGCAGTTTCCGAACTGTAACTATTAAAAACCTTGGTTTCTTGATACTAGGATTCAGCCAGTGTCTACGTCCAAGCCACATAATGGCAAGCTGGGACTTTTAGTCTGTTGGTTAGCTCACTTTTAATGTCTAATGTGTTATTTTTTTTAATTGATAGCCATTTATGAGGGTAACTACAGAACAGCTTATATAAGCCAGTGGAGGCGCTGACAAAGTCTTAAACATTTTCACCTAAAATCTAAAAGGCTATGAGCAGCTTTTATTTCATGGCGAAATACCAATGTCCTTATACGAATGCCGGCATGTGCCCAAGTGGAATTATTTTTTCCAACTAGTCAGTGCTGTCCTCATGCAGCCAAAGACTAAATTAGATGTTTTTATTTGACAGACGGAGCTTAAAGACAGGAAAAAAAAGAGAGCGTGCATGGAAAACTCACAATTATAGGTAAAGAATCAGCAGAGTTGAGCTTTGCAAAGAATACATTGAATTTTTAATTTATGAGCTGATAGGATATTCAAAAAAGGGTCTTAGTGTCTTCACATTAAGGCTAAGAAAGGCCGATTTTACCTTAATGGGAATATAATATTATTTTAGGAGGGTGAAATCTTCATATTGTATCTTGAGCAAACATCATCAGGTAATCTTATTAATGTTGGACAAATCACCCTCGGGGGAGGCCCTGGTATGTCAATGTGCATGTGTTAGTGTGTGGAAAGAGAGAAGACTGAGGAGTCATCTGACCGTGACCTATCAGTCTTTAGGAGATTGTTTTGACTACCAGGCCAGCCTAAAGACGACCCCTCCTCCTGTTTGGATTAAACCAGTTAAAATCCTGCCTCTGCAGCTCCAGCTGTGCTTCCAAGCTGTCACTGATTGCTCACCACCAGACACTGGATGATTCCTCTAATGATTCCATCCTAATTTCTTGTAATTTCCTAAATCGGCTAATTTCAGCTCGCAGGTTTAAATCGAAATTTTCAGTGTATCCTTTTTCTCCAAACCTGTGTACTTTTCCCTCTTGTGATAAATGCCTACAATTTTCCACAGCCCTTTCCAGCAAACACGGGAGAGCACGGCTGCACTTGTGTCTCGCAGCTGTTGGTTTGTGTTGGGAAGCGAGTACGATAACAGGAGTGCTGCAGTTTGGCCAGACTTTCCCAGGCTGTGTTAAATTCATTCTAACAAAAAAAAAAAATGGATCTTGGCTAAAATCCCATGACGCCCACTACCTTACACTTAGTGTTTAAGTACAAATTGCTTGATACTGGCACACTCAACTGAGTGTATAAGGTCTCTAAGAGGTTCACATCTTATCCTTTATTCAGGGGGTTTCTATGGAGAAGGTTATATAAGGGGCACTTTCACCCCTAAAAACTTTACAAATGAAAACCTTACATTTTTTTAGTTATGTATTTAACTTCAATAGGTTTTTCTGTTAACAGATCATTATTAGCAGAATAACCATTTCTGGTTTAAAGTTTAATGACATATTCCATTTGTTATCACTGTCATTACTGATAATCAGCATAGTACAATACAAAATATTTTAATTAAAGAAAAAGCGCATAACTGTCAACCAATGAAATGAAATACCACTGGTGTTCTGATCTGCTGCCATAAGGAAAAACAAAAGTGCAACATGGAGTGAATTCTGAATTACACATGCATAGTTAGTGCCAAAATGAAATAAGTAAAGGATATATGCAGATTTCTAAACATAAAGTCTAATATTTTAGAAAACTCTTTAAAGTATTCTTTTTTTTTAAGGTACAAGATGCAAAAAAACTGTTAGGGACAGAAAATTTTCACGGTTGGGTTGAGGTTTTGAGGATCCAAACGGAGGGATGAGGAGTTAGAGGTGAATTTTGTAGATTGAATGAATTAACTGAGGCAAAAATCCAAAAATACAAGGAACCAGAAAACTTCGGGGGAAAAACTCATGGGGCCAAAGAACCAAGAAACCAGCACTGAGGAACTGCACAGGGAGAGTATATATAGGAGATAGAACAAAGACTGGACTAATGGTTTGACAAGGAACAGGTGTGGATGGAAGCATCTAAGAGGAAGCCAAGGAAAAATGAAACAAAGAGTAAGTCAAGAACCAATCACTGTTAGAAAACAAATACAAATATAAAGAAACTAAACATAAACTTAAACAGAGGGAAGAATCCTAACAAAAAGCAGATAAAACAAGGTAAAGCATCATTTGAACAGCAATGCCAGAATACCAGAAGTTCAATGATAATAGAAACATTATAAATACATCAAATCTTATTTAAATACAAATATTGTTAGTCACTATTAAACAAAAACAGGTAACAAAGGATTAAAATGAATTAATAAAGCAATCTTGGATTCAAGGCTTAGCAGTATGCTTTTCATTCTTGATTTATAGGAGCCAACAGTTTTTGGATATCTAGGGTCTAAGGAGAAACCAAATGCTGCGTCTCCTTCTTTAATTCTATTCAAATATCCTCCGTTTTTTTTTTTTAAACCAAATTCTTGTCTACAGTCAGTTCCTTAGGCTTACAGATCTCAAAAGACAATGTCAAAATGTAACTTTAATTAGGCGTTTGTGAAAAATTTACTAGATATGACAGAATGAGAGAAACACCGATCAGCTCAGTGTATGAAGGGCTCTTGTGTACAGAGATACATTTATTTATTCAAGTTTAGTAGGAAGCCAAATATCAGATACAATAAAATTTTCTTTGTTATTTGAGATGAGAACAAAATAAATCTACACAGTATCATTTATTTTGTAGAAAGAGTAGTTTATGTTTAGGTTGTAGATTGAAATGGTTGATGAGGTTATTAGGGTTCTGTAGAGCATATTGTGCAATGAACTTGGTGAACTTTTAAAAGTTTGGTTCTTGTAGGAAATAGTGTCAAAACAGGGTGAGATAAAGCAGCTATTCTGTTATTCAAAAAGATGTGTGGACAGAGAAAATGCAAACTAGGGCTATGTTCACATTGCAGGCATTCAGACTCAGGTCCGATTTGAAAAATCAGATAGGTATTGGATTTAGGACCACATAGCCAGGTGGCCTGGGTCACATTTCAAAAAATCGGGTCTCTGTTGTTCAGACTATATTGAAAAGATCAGCTACAGGTTTCATAGACGCAAAAAAATCTGATTTTGGTCACTGCAGGCTGCATTGTGAATGCAGCTTAAATGCTATTGTTCATGTTTGCTGATACTTGCTTTGGCTGCCAACTAGTAATGGTTCTATCTGTATCTAATAGCAACACTCATCTCTATCCAGCTGGAGGATAGATTGCCAATAATCGTTTTAGCGTCTCGTTATACTTTCCTCAATCAGTAGGAGGACCATTTCCAGTCCAAATCCTGTGATTTCATCTTTTGATTACCACCTGATACCCGTCCAAATACCTACCCACTTTTGCTGATGTCAGTCAGATGGATTTTTCCAAACACCTACACCTTGGGCTCTGTCTGAAATACAGGAAATGTGTTACAGGTGTTGAGATGGAGGCCAAGGGGGGCGGTAGAGAAGGTTAGCTGAGATATGAGAAGGGAAAGAGTGCAAAGAGTAATAAAAAAACACCCTAAACCTTTTTGGCACAAAATTTTATAACCTTAGCCAAATAAAAATTGAATGAGATCTGATTTTTGATTTTTTGAGGATTATAAAACCATCAACAGCCAGACAATAGGTTTTAACAACATTAGATCAGCTCTAAATTGTTTTATGTCATAGTAAAGATGAACTACATTGCGAACTGAAAAATAACTTAATTAAAATCTTTTGAGTTCTGCTAGAAAAGCCAGCGGTGGATGGTCTGAGCAGTCAGCAAGGGAGAGGTTAGGTGAGGAGGGAAAAAGTGATGTTATTTTCCTGGCCAGATAGAGAAAGGTTCCTCACCAGCCAGGAAATCAGGGCTCTTCTGTTCCGATACCACAGATAAATGAGGAATATATCGTCTTACACTGAACTCATAAATCAGCTCATGATGTCATAGTTCATTCAGCCTATGATTGAATCAAATAAACGCGCGTTGCTCTCGGCCACCACAGCTAATGTTGCTTTGCTACTGTGTGGAATGTGTTTGTGAGTTTACTGCACTCGGTCAGGGCTAATTTACTTTCTCAGCAACCAGAAGCGAAATGCCAAGAAAACCGCATTGATTATAGAAAACCTTATTCTGCTGCCACAGCTGACTGTAAAATTGTTGGAAGAGCAAGTTCGTGAACCCTCCTGCTGGAGGTTAACATATAAGTTAGAGATTGTTTGCATCTGGATCTGAACGTGTGCAGAAGATGATGATAGACATGCACTGAAAAAAAATAATGCAACAATTTTTGGCATTTACTTAATCATATTTAGTTACTTTAACACAATTGTTTCATATTAGCAGGGTAGGAAATAAAACAATTGTGTTAGAGTAACTCATCATGATTAAGTAAATGCCAAAAACCTTTATAGTTTTCTGTGTAATAGCTTGAAAAATGACTTTTTCTGGTCTTACTTTTATCACACTTTCTCTCATTTTTTCAAAAAAGAAAAAAAAAGAACAAAAGCGAATACACCTTTGTACACCTTGAAGTTCTAGATGATATAAGACCATGTTTTCTTTCTATTGCAGAACAAAGACAGAGACAGGAAGACAAGCATCCGAAGCTAACGTCAAGGGACAAACCACACTGACAAAATGTTCAAGATGGGGCTTCATGGGACTTTTTTTTAACAACCACTGCAGCTGGAAGACCAACCAGATTCTGATGCATTTTAAAGACCTTTGAAGGATTTCTGTAGCACTTCCTCTTCCTTTACAAGGAAATTTTTAATATTTCCTTTTTCTATTACTTTATACAAACTCTTTTACAGCGTGGAATCATGAACAGTACTTTCCATGGATTTTCACCTGCCTATCAGGACCGTACAAAATCTTATAAGTACTTAATAAATCATGGCACATGATGACTAAAAACTTACAAATTTGTATTCATTCAAAGCTGTGTCTTATTAAAATGTAAACTGATATAAAAATGTATATTTATGTAACATAACAATATATAATGAAAGTGTGTTATTTAACAAACTATGGCATTTTTTTGATATTTTGCATTGTTTCAATTACAGGCTTTGGTTACTGACTCAGTTTGTAGCATCACAGAAAACATGCTGGAACTATGCTGGTAATGTTTCTTTCTATTTTTTTTTATTTTTTATTCATCCTTGAAAGGGAAAAGAAAATCGAGTTGACTAATAAAATGTTTTTAAATCTGGGAGTCAATCATATTTTTCTGAGTAGGCCTATACTGTATTTTCAAATCTCGCCCCAGTAATTGCTGGTTCCAACCAATAAAGCTTATAAAGTTTCCATTTTGAATTTATGATGGCATGCAGATGTTTTCTAAAACCAAATAGTGGTTTTTGAGGGACACTTTTACCACTACGAGAGACAATGAACCTATGAAAATCTTTTATAGAAGTGAACTTAAGGCATAACTTTATTACATAAATATAATCAATGTTTCTTATGATTATATTTCAGTTTAGACTTGCCCTTTAATTTAAAACTGCTATTTTGTGATTCCCTAAAGGATTTCTGAGCAGAAATGTGTCATTTTTGTTGTCTTACAACAGCTATGTTGTTGTGCAACTCTGTGCCTTGGTCAAAACGATATTGCAAAAGCATGTTGGTTAAATAAAGATTTTAATGACAAAAAAAAAAAAAATCTAAAATAAAGTTGAAGATGAGAGAAAAACAGGATGAAGAAGTGGAGAAACAGTGGAGCAAAAGAGAAGGAGTGGGAGGAAAGCTGAAGTGGGTTGCAAAATTGCATCTGCAGGTATGGGTACTTGGACATCTGCCTTTGTCCCTTTGCTGTCCTCTTCTTTACCTTTCCACATGCCTGTACTCTGTTCTCCTCCTCTGCTCTTCCTCTGTTCTCCCTGGAGTGCCACTGGCCAGAATCTGGTTGGTGATGGCTTTCCAGTGTGTTCATCCTGACAGTGCATACCTTCCTGTAACCTTGTCTGTCCATCTTTCCATCCTCGTCTTTTACACTATAAACTATATTTTCCAGCCTTTGAAAAGATTTTGAGATTTCTTGTATAATAAATAAGATATTTTTCACCTTCTCTTGTGGATGTATTTTTTGTTGTATCTTCTTCAAAGTTCTGTTCGATTTTCTTTATCAGTGACAAATTATCTCCCCAGCTAAACTTCATCTAATAAAGGCAGAAAGTGATTGTGGCTTTTATCTGAACAATTGTGGTACAAAATACAAAATAAAATATCTTAAGAGGTTTTAAAGGTTGTTTGGGTTGATTAAAATGGCAAACTAAGGGTTAATTTTCACCTGTTTGTTTGGGCTAAACTTGGATTGGACCTCAGGGCTAAATAAATTCAACAACTGGACATAGCCGTAAAAAAGGACATTTAACATGATTGGTGTTTGGGGGACTCTTTGGTAAACAGCTGAAACCAGATCTTTACAAATCCCAATTAAAAAGGCCTCAAAGATATTCTGCATTTCTACATGCCTGAAATTAAATCAGATTATCCATCCATTTTTTATTTTCCTCATTATCCCAGCTAGGGTCGGGAGGTCATAACTCCAGCTGTCTACGGGCGAGAGGTGGGGTACACCCTGGACAGGTCGCTAGTCCATTGCAGGGCAACACAGAGACAAACTCACACGCAAGTCAATTAACCTAACAGTCTAACAGTCATGTTTTTGGACTGTGGGAGGAAGCCGGAGTACCCGGAGAGAACCCGCGCATGCACAGGGAGAACATGCAAATTCCATGCAGTAAGACCCCGGGCCGGGAATTGTAGCTGGAACCTTCTTGCTGCAAGGCAGCAGTCCTACCCACTGCCCCACTGAGCAGCCCTAAATCAGATTAATATTTTTATAATTTAGTAAGAAAGGATTTTGACATGAATAAAGAAAGACATATATTCAGATTTCATCCTTTTTACCTTTCTTCATATTCAGAGATTACATACAGACCTCATTTGGTGGAACTGCTTTTAAATTGTATGTAGCTGGCATGGCGTTCTTAGGCTTACAAGATAAACCTCCTTTTCTTCCAAATATAACAATGGTTGGTCACTTTTTTCTATTATAGTAACAGACAACAGGACATGTCTCTGTGTCCCTAAGTGCTCCACAAGATTTTCCACCTTTGCTCTAAGGCTGAGATTACACAGATTGAAACAAAACATGTTGATCTGTTGGATACAGAATCTTCCTCCATCCTGAATGGTGTAACAACCTGAAATTCCCATGCTGTTTGTATTTGCCTGTAATTGTTTAAACAGATAAAAGAGGGATGTTGAGATATCTAGGATGAGTACTCAGAGGTGAAGCACAAATGTTGAGTTCCACCTTAGCTCCTTGATAGATTGGTTGATTTCAATTGAAATTTTTTATAATTTGTCAAAAGTAAGCAGTATATTTTAATGTTTGCTTGGTGTGCCTTCAGTAATACAAATACTTTGAGTTCATTCTAGTGAATAAATAAAAAATCAATAGGATTGTATTAAGGCAAAGGTATCTGTATATGTTTTACTTTTTTATTCATTTAAAGAAAGAAATTCTTTTTCATCATTCTGGAATTTAGTCAATAGTAATATTTCATAAATAACCCAAACAGACATAACAAAATTAATTTTTAGCCTGGTTTGATATCAGACAGTAGGCAAAAAAAAAGTTACATCTTTATATGGTGTATAGAAACTTAAGGTTTCACATGAGTTATCATGAAAAATTACCCTTGCACCTTAAGATTCTCATTAATTTTAACATTTCTTTAGATCTGATAATATTGCCTAAACCCATATTAAAAAAACTAAACCCACATGACAGGTCCACAATTAATTAAGCTTTAACTAGGGGATTCTTTTAAGATTATTTAACCATAATTCAGCTATTGTTTCTGTTTCCTAATTAATTTTCGTAACAACACTATAAAGCTCTTTGAGTTTGTATCCACCTTTTTTTTTTTTTTTTGCAGGCTGAGTGTTTGGTGAAGAAACACAGACCTACAAAGAAAAAGATCAGACTAAGAAACGGCAAAAGACCAAAGTGCCCAAAAAAAAAAAAAAAACAGATTCATTTTGTGTCTTTTGACAAAAACCAACCGCTTTAGACAGTGCCGAAGACTTAGACACACATTTAATGCCGACGGGTTCCCTGAGGGACACCACAGACGTGGTACCAGACAACATAAAAGGATTCACCAAGCATTCGAAGTGGGGAGAAAAGCAGATATATGCTGAAAAAAACACAATATTATATCAATACTGATGGCATTTCTGGCAATATTTAGAGAAATGTGGAAAAGTGGTTTTAATGAAAACCTGAACTAAAGATAGTTATAAAGTCTGGAGAATCACTCACACTAAAGACAAAATGTAGTTCTGGCATGTTATGCTTGAACTACCCTCACACTCAAGTGCCAGAGTTGTTTTTTTCCCCAAAAAAGAGAGAAGACAGGAAAATAAAAGATGAAATCTCAGGAAACCTTCAGTGTAATTGGCCCGTACTGTTTTGGATCCTGTTGAAATGATTTGACAAATGTGTGTTTAGTTTTAAACATTTTTGTTTTATTATTGGCCCATGATGATTTAAGAGCTTTTTCTTTCTTTTTTTTTTATTTAGGAACAAAGCAACAGCTTTGAAAAAAGTGCTCCGTGTCTACTGTGTCCTAATGGCTTCTGGTCCAGTTAGTCTGAGAGTCTGATCTCTCTAGCAGGCCGTCTGTCTGAACAGTGGAGAGTGGGGGGAAAAGGAACTGGTTCCTCCCACACAGATCAGATCAGGTTCCCCCTACGCCTACACTCACAAAATCTTGAACACACACAGATGACCATTTACGCTCTTGTGGGCCAATGAACTTATGCACAAATAGATGAGCGCACTTTATGAATGGACGTGCACGCATGTGCATGTGCTCACACTCTGCACTCTGAGGGTCTGTGGTATAGCTTAGCCGAGTAATGATCTCTGTATTTTACATCGATGAAGCAGATCAGCTGAGTGTGCTGGCTGCTGTGGTGTATTAAAGTGGGAGGTTTTGGACTAAGGTGAACCGGAGGTTGGAGAATCAACTGGTTCTAATTATTGATATAATGGCCTTACAAGGATGCTCTTTCACAGATTTATTTTAACAGAGATAGTTAGAAAAACCCTCACCTTAGAAGAAGAATCAAGGATAGGACCAAAATGATTAATCAGAGAGTAATTGAAATTCTTGCAAAATAGAGTAAATGGATGTTTAGATTTAAAGAGGAGAGAGATTTTTTTATCCGCAAAATGGTTTCAGCTATATATTTGAGGGAACAAATAGAAATAGCAAGGAAAACTGATTAAAGCCAATTTATCTTCGCTTGGCAAAAACAGTTGCTCAACTTCTTGCACAGGAATTTGAACAAATTCATTGATCAAATATCTTTTGAAATAAAAAAAATGTCTTTCATATTGTATTTTTTGTAAATGTCCTAAAACAGACTCTAAAGCTGCTTATGGGGATTTGACTTGTTTGTCAAGGTTTTCATTTTAATGTTGGTTACGGAGGTCTACTTTTCCAGAAAAGACACTTTACACATGTCTGCTGTTCATTTAGCTTTATTGCAGTTATTTGAACTGAAGAACTAAAATAAAAGGTTCAATCAGAAATGTTAAACCCTTTATGACGTGATTCGTTTTTGCTTGTTGTGACCCTCTTTCCCACAACAACAAGAAAATAAAGAACAGCATTTGTATTCAACAACTACTTATCTGCAGGTAATCAAAATACTTATATAAAAATTCATAAAACTATGTAAACAAATATGTAGACGATGCATGTTAAAATATAGCAAACATCTTACAGACTTTACTGGTTACTGCAAGTTAACTTAACCCCCAATCGGAGCAATAGCCTCTCCAATGAAGCTTGTTTATAAAACAGATATCTCTTCATGTGTCTGAAGTGTTTTTGGATTAAAACGTTTTTGTTTATTATTCAATGGACTAACTAGAGGTGACCAGCCAGAAATTACTCACATAAATGTTGTATTCCTAAAAATGCATAGAAGTTAATGATTTTCATATATACTACCTACCTACCAAAAAAATACTGT